AACCGGCGAAAGGAAACCAAATTTAACCAATCCTAATTTAAACTCCAATAGGCCCCCTCAAGATGTGCAGAAGATGTTACGTATGCACATCTTGGATTTAAGATGTTCAAACTGATAGGGAAATAAAGGTTTAGTAAGTATATCTGGAACCTGATCTTCTGTCCTTACGTGAAGCGTCTTCAACAACTCTGCATCAAGCTTCTCACGCACGGTATGACAATCCAATTCAATATGTTTAGTCCGTTCGTGGAAGACGGGATTAGTTGCAATATAGATAGCTGCAGTGCTATCAGAGAATAGGACTGGAACAGAAGAAGAAGCAACACGAAGCTCTCGAAGAAGAATGCATAACCACATCATCTCACAAGAAGCAAGAGCTAATGCTCTGTATTCAGCCTCTGCTGAAGAACGAGAAACAGTAGGTTGTTTCTTTGAACGCCAGGAGATCAAAGAATCACCTACAAACATCGTGAAACCAGTAGTTGATCGCCTACTATCCACACAAGCAGCCCAGTCAGCATCCGCAAAACCTTTCAAGGTGAGGTCAGAAGTAGCAGAGTAAAACAAACCCTGACCCACAGTACCTTTAATGTATTGCAGAACTTTATACACAACACCAAGATGAGATGTTCTAGGAGCTGAAGAGAACTGACAAAGCTTGTTCACAGCAAATGTAATATCCGGTCTGGTTATAGTGAGATACATCAAACGCCCCACAAGACGTCTATACATTTCTCGATCTTCAATTAAGTCACCATCAACCTTTGACAACTTCAGATTCGGTGTCATTGGAACAGCTGATGGTTTGCAACCAAGCATGCCTGTGGAAGTAAGAAGTTCTAAGGCATACTTGCGTTGACAGAGTGAAATACCATCAGAAGTCCTTGATATCTCCAAACCCAAGAAATACTTAAGCTCACCAAGATCACGCAACTTGAAGAAAGTCTTCAGATCAGCCTTGAGCTTAGTAGCAACATTATCATCTGTACTTGCAATGACAATGTCATCGACATACATCAACACAGCTACAAAATCTGTCTCAGTCTGTCTCACAAAAAGAGTATGATCCCCATGAGCTTTCTGAAAACCAAGTTGAAACAACGATGTTGAAAACTTCTTAAACCACTGTCGAGATGCCTGTTTGAGGCCATAAATCGACTTCTTAACCGACAAACAGCATTAGGTGGTAATGCACCAAATCTCTCTGCATATCCCTCAGGAAGCCTCATATAAATTTCCTCCTCCAACTCGCCATTAAGGAAAGCATTTGAAATATCTAGCTGATGAAGAAACCATTTCTTTGAAGCTGAGACTTTCAACAAGAGTTTAACAGTAGCCATCTTTGCTACCGGTGAGAAAGTCTCTGTATAATTCAAACCCTCCTTTTGTGTATAACCTTTACCAACCAAACGAGATTTCCTTCTTTCTAAACTTCCATCAGCATTAAACTTCAATGTATGAACCCAATGACAACCAATTGCTTTCTTCCCTTTTGGCAAAGTAACAACATCCCAAGTATGATTTTCCTCCATAGCATCAAGTTCTTTATTAAAATATTCAGTCCACTCTGTAGAGGCCCGTACTTCAGCATATGATTGAGGAATAGGAATGTTGGTAATGCTATTAATGTAAGCAAGATGATGTGAAGAAATTTTAGAGTATGAAAGAGTAGAAGAAATAGGATAAGTAGAGTCATTAAGAGAATAACAATGAAAGTCCTTTAAATGAGCAGGAACTGTTCTTTGTCTTTTAGAAATTTGTGGTGGTAGGTTTGAAAGAGAAGGAGATGGAATGGAAGATGCTGAAGATACGGTATTTTCTAAGGAAAGAAATGGAGTAGAGAATCATCCAGCTGCTGATGTTTAGCCATTGGAAAAACGTCTTCATGGAAAGTAACATTCTGAGAGATATAGATAGTGTTACTTTCCAGATCAAGAAGCTTATATCCTTTATAACCTGATGGGTAACCCAAAAACACACAAGCACGAGATCGAGGCATGAACTTGTGACGTTGTTTCGGCGAAGTAGAACCATAACACAGACAGCCAAATGTTCGAAGTTGATCATAAGCAGGAACTTTACCCATAAGTACTTCAAACGGAGATTTATTAGACAGTAGAGGAGAGGGAGTTCGGTTGATAAGGAAAGCAGCAGTGAGAATACAATCTCCCCACTACTGTAGAGGAACCTGAGATTGAAACATCAGAGCACGAGCAACATTAAGTAGGTGCTGATGTTTCCTTTCCACTACTGAGTTCTGTTCAGGTGTCTCTGGACAGGAATGAAATGAAACAATACCCTTTTCTTGGAACAACTCTGTGAAACGAAGCTCTGGTGCATTATCACGCCTAACAAATTTGATCTTAGTACCAAACTGCGTTTCAATTTGATTGACAAAGGCAGGGAATATGTGTAGAACATCACTTTTGGTTTGTAACAAGTAAATCCACGTTGCTCTTGAATGATCATCAACAATGGTGAGAAAATACTTATAACCTTCCAAAGTTTCCACAGAAAAAGGTCCCCAAATGTCAATATGAAGCAACTGAAAACTCGCAGTACAAATATTATTCTGAGAAGAATATGATAATTTCTTCTGCTTCGCAAGGTGACACACACTACAATGAGCCTTGCCCTTATTCTTGTGATGAGTTGTACCAAGAACTTCAGAAATTGTATCCAATCTTGTATATGAAGGATGACCAAGCCTCTTGTGCCATAAACCGATATCAACCACTGCATTGATCTTCACTGATGCACTGCTAACATCAAGCACATAGAGATTAGCCACACGTCTACCCTGTCCAATCATCCAACCCTTGGTAGGATCATGAATAGCACAAGAAGACACATCAAAGATAACCCGTGAACCAAGATCACTAGTTAAAGAGCTGATACTGAGTAGATTGAGACGAAAATCAGGTATGTACAAGACATTGTGGAGAGTAATATGTTCATTTAGTTGAACAACTCCTATGCCACTAATCTTAACAACCATTCCATTAGGTAAATTCACATTACTAGTCGTAGTAATGTCAAGAGAAGCATACATATGACGATCATGACATACATGATGTGTAGCCCCAGAATCTATAATCCATGTTTCATTGGCTAATGTATGTTGAGAGACAGTCAAAAGACCAATGAAAGCAAGAGTTGTAGGATTAAATGAGATACAGAGTTATCCATTGGTTGCTTAGAAGTACTCGCTTCATTAGACCCCATTGTAGAGACGTTAGGTAGTTGAGAGCTGAATACAGCATTGAACTGTTGAATCTGCTCTTCGCTGAGATTACCAATAAGATTGTCCACATTCAATGATTTCTGTTCCGAAGGCTGAGAAGTATGAGAGACCTGAGCAGCTACAGGTTGAGATTTCTGAGCCTTATCTCCAGACGACTTGTACTTGGAAACAAAACCAGGTGGAAATCCATGTTTCTTGTAGCATCTCTCCGCAATATGCCCCACTCGGTTACAGAAAGAACAAATAGGTCGACCTTTATTAGGCCCATTCTGAACATAGCAAATTCCAGTTTCAGCCAAGGGAGAAGTCACTTTGTCAGAGACGTGAAAAGCTGCAGGAGTAACAACTGTAGAAAAGCTTTTCTGACTATCATCCTGATCAAGAATGTTGTAAACTTCAACCAGAGTAGGCAAAACCTTCTTCATAATTATTTGATGCCGAATAATCGCATAAGATTCATTTAGTCCAGCAAGGAACTTCACAATCTTAGTACGATCAGACTTCTGTTGCATACGAGCTGCATTTCCACAAACACATGGTGCACAAGGTTCATCTACACTCTCCAAATTATCCCAAAGTGTTTTCAAGGTAGTGTAGTACTCAGAGAGAGACATCGATCCTTGTTTGAGATCTTGAATCTCCTGAGTAAGGTTAAACGTTCGAGGGAGATTTGTCATGTGAAAGCGACCGTGAAGATCACACCAAATATCTGCAGCATCATTGGAACGCAAAATATTGCGATAGATCTGAGGAGAAACAGAGTTCAATAACCATGACTTAACCATACTATTGCACCTAGACCATAATCGAAAAGTAGGATCCGATGTATCAGGACGAGCTAGAGATCCATCAACAAAACATATCTTATTCTTCGCATCTAGAGCAATCTTCATAGCAGCATTCCAATCATCATAGTTTGAACCATCCAAGCGCAGAGAAATGAGTTGCAAACCTGGATGATCAGCATTGTGCATAAAAAGAGGAGACTGATTCGGATCCATCGATCCAGGAGGAATCACCATTGACGAGGCTCCGATGTTGAGATTCTGAGCTATCGGAGGAGATCGCGGTGGTGTATCATCTGGATCGGTGTAGCGAACCGATTTGCGAGCAGCTCGAGTGGATTTTCGCGGAAGTTTCTTGATCGATACCATCGTGAACGAGAAGAGAACACGAATCCAGGAAGATCAATGAAGAAATCAAAGAATATTGAGCTCAGATGGCTCTGATACCATATTACGAATCTGAAACTCAGAATATTCGAGAGAGAAGGGAGAAAGAGTTTATTACAGATGAAAAGATATTTTCATTACTTTCAAAATAACTGTATAACGTTCACATTATATGCAATTAAACTAAACCAAAAATAAGGTAAACCGGCGAAAGTAAACCGAATTTAACCAATCCTAATTTAAACTCCAATATGAGTCTTTAAGCCATTAACTGATCTTGGAGTTAAGCTTCATGGCCTAGCGGTTGCTTCTGGTGTAGATTTTGAAGTTTTATATCAAAAACTCACTTTCTATCTGTGTACGAAAAAAATGTGGCCGTTCGTGATGATCCGTGTATCTGGCCAGTGACATGGACTTGCTTGAAATCAACAAGACAATTCATTCATTTGTTTTCCGGCCCAATAAATCAAACTAAGATGGGCTGAAAGGCCCAAATAAACAGACACGTGTCCTACGACAAAAGAGAGCAACGGCTTCTGGCGGTGATGACGTGGCACTTCTCTAGAAGCAGCTCCATTCTTCGACTGCATCATTTGTCTTTTAAATTTGTTCCAGAAGAAACGAAGATCGGTCCGGAGAAGCATCGAGGTGAACAGAGAAGATGTCGGCTCACTACAGATGGAAGAGCTTTGAAGAGAACGAAGACCGTCCTGAGAAGCCACGCCGTTACGGTGTTACGGAGATGAGAGGTCCTCGTTACTCTGTTCTCAGCCAGAACGTTCTTCAGGTACCATTTCTAGGAAAAAAATAATCCATCATTACAAGTGTTCGTTCACCTGATTATGATTAGGCTCTTACGGTTGATTGTGTGGTTAGGAAATCTTTGAATCCATGGGGCAGTTTGTTGACGGGTTGAAGTTCTCTGGTGGCTCCAACAGTTTGATTCCAAAGTCATTCCTCAAGCAAGCCATTGAAATGGCTCATGAGCACGATGTGTATGTTAGTACTGGTGATTGGGCTGAACATGTTCTTCGTAGTGGTGGTCCTTCAGCTTTTAAAGAGTATGTTGAGGTAAGTTAAGCTATTATAGAAGATGATGAGAGCCAGTTTTAGGAATACTCAGATGAAACATTATAGATAGTTTCATAATCCTGTCTAAATTTTTTTATTTTATTTTATTTAATAGTAACATAAAGATGTTTATAATCTTCAAAATTTCAGATCTGGCTTTGAAGATGACATTAAATTTTGAATTTTATTTTCCTTTTATTGCAGGAGTGTAAGCAGTTAGGGTTTGACACTATTGAGCTCAACGCGAATTTGCTTGAGATTCCGGAGGACACTCTTCTACGATATGTTCGTATGATCAAGAACGGTGGTCTTAAAGCCAAGCCAATCTTTGCTGTGAAGTTCAACAAGTCGGATATTCCTGGGAGGAGTAGAGCGTTTGGTTCCTATGTTGTTCCAGAGCCTAGATCAAGCGGTAAGAACGCAGACGATGTTCTTCGTTTATAGTTTTATGTTTTGCATTGTTACTATGAAAATATTCTTTTTTCTTTCAGAGTTTGTTGAGGACATTGATCTATTGATAAGAAAGGCTGAAAGGTGTTTAGAAGCCGGGGCAGACACTATTATGATTGATGCAGATGATGTCTGTAAATACGCTGATTCTCTCCGAGCAGACATAATCGCTAAAGTCATAGGACGTTTGGGAATAGAGAAGACTATGTTTGAAGCATCTGATGCCAAGTTAGCTGAGTGGTTCATCAAACGTTACGGTCCAAATGTATTTACTCTTTCTCCTCTCTATCATTTCTCAATTTCTGTTTATATGTTAAAAACGCTTCTCTTTTGTTTCTTGATTTTCTTTCAGGTGAATCTTTATGTGGATCATTCTCAGATAATGGATCTGGAGTGCCTCCGTGGTCGTCATCTTGGTAAAGATCACAAGTCCGTTCTCAGTTCCTCCTATTTCTTGTTTTAAAAACGATAGCTCTCCCACTACATGTAAACCTGTGTGAATTTCTCATGTATTATGTCTTATGTTATGTGCTTCGTTGATGGTGTAAGCAAGAAAACGTTTAGGAGAGTATTGTGATAATCTCTCAGATTGTAGTAAAGTAATCCGCGTAAGGCTTTGTTTGTCTTAAGAGTTTCACTGACTGGAACACTTTAAGCAAAAATATAATACCAGTTTCAGCAGTTCTGTTGCAACCATGCCGTTTACTATTTTTGTAGAAACTTGTGATATCTTTGATATAATATATCCATAACAACAATTTGCATCTTATCAAGAATAGAATAACTGAATATATGTCATGTTAGATTTTTTTTTTAAATAATTTTGTAACCGCAGTTGTCATAATTAGATTGTAATTATAAACTGTACATAACCATCAGGGAAATAACTACCATCTTTGTGCTTTGTTTATTTTTTGCTGTTAGTAGTTGCAACGTTTTATTTTTTTACAAGATACAAAACAGTATGTGTATTGGTTAATTGGTTATCTTGCCAGTCTTTGGAAACACAAAGTTGGTTAAATCAAATTTAGAAGACACTATAGATCTGTCTAATATAAAAAGGAATTTGGAGGATGTTCTCAAAGCAGGTTCTGTCTCAATAACAAAGAAAGAAAAACATTTTCAGAGGAGAGTTTGAGCAAAAAACCAACCTCTGAAAATGTATCTTTCTTTAAAACTGTGTTTTGTAGCTATAGCATTTGCTTTTTTGGTAAACATAAATACTGCTCAACCTTCAGAGGATATGCCGCCTCCCGGCGAACCCGAATTTCGCGCTCCCGGTGTTGCTGAGGATATGCCCCCTCCCGGCGAACCCGAATTTCGCGCTCCGGGCGTTGCTGAGGATATGCCGGCTCCCGGCGAACCCGAATTTCGCGCTCCCGGGAACGCTGGCGTATGTAGTCTAAAAGTTTCTTTTACACATATGAAAAACAAACAAAGATTGTTATACGTTCATTAATTATTACTTTATGTGTTAACCTACAGCCACCTGATCCCGCTGCAGTAGAGTCACCCCCCGCTCCTGTGGCGCCTTTCGTCCCCGAGTCCCCGGTAAGTGTTTCTTATATATATGCGAGTAAGAAAAAAAATACTAGATTGTTTGTAGTATCTTATCATGTGTTCCGTTATTTCGTCTGATGAAAAATAGGTTTATATCATTTACTTGGGTGCAACGAAACACGATGATCCAAAGTTGGTGACTCAATCGCATCTTGAAATCTTGAAATCGGTTCTTGGAAGGTAAAAAAGATTCGTTTGCATGTGTCTCTACCTTAGCTTCTGAGGTTTTTTTTATAATTGATGATTTTTTGTTACAGCGAAGAAGCAGCCAAAAAGTCAATGATCTATAACTATCAATATGGATTTTCTGGCTTTGCAGCCAAGCTCAAACCAGCAGATGCAGAGAAAATGAAAAGTATTACTCTCTTAATACATTTTTTTTCTTTTATTGCATATTAAAACACTAAAATGTGTAAATTTTACTAAACCATTTTCTGTATTTCTGTCTAATAGAGCATCCTGAAGTTATTACTCTTGTGGTAAACCGAAAACTTGTGATGCAAACAACAAGGACATGGGATTACTTAGGTCTTTTCTCAACTCCAGCTGCGTCTAAAGGTCTTCTAAATGGGTCCAACATGGGAAGTGGTGCTATTATTGGCGTTATTGACTCCGGTAGCTTATCAATCTTTCTATTAATATGTGTGCTCAACTTACTCTTCAGCATAATGATAACAATCTTGAGATCATGTGAGCAGGGATATGGTCAGAAGCAAGTGTCTTCGGTGACAATGGATATGGAGCGACACCAAAACAATGGAAAGGACAATGCGTCTCCGGGGACCAGTTCAAAGCTGAACATTGCAACAAGAAGCTTATTGGAGCTAAATATTACATGGATGGTCTCAATGCTGATCTCTCAACAAGTATCACCAGTAGCACAGAACACATATCTCCTAGAGATCATAACGGCCACGGGACACAAGTTTCCTCAACGTTAGCTGGCTCTGTCCTCTCTAACTTGAAGTTTCCAGGCCTCTCATCTGGATCAGTCATGAGAGGTGCTGCTCCTAAGGCGCATATAGCCATGTACAAAGCATGTTGGGACGTGGAAGGAGGGATGTGTTCGGTTGCTGATGTCTGGAAAGCCTTTGATGAAGCTATTCATGATGGTGTTGATGTTTTGTCGGTTTCTATCGGTGGCTTAACAAGGGTCAAATCTCTTGACGTTGAGGTTGACATCGCAATTCCAGCGTTACACGCTGTGAACAAAGGCATCACTGTTGTTTCTCCAGCTGGTAATGGAGGACCACGCGCTTCATCGGTTATTAACGTTTCTCCATGGATATTAACTGTGGCTGCGACCACCCTTGACCGCTCTTTCTCCGCATTTGTCACACTCGGCAACAATCTAACGTTTATGGTATGTATACACATATCTCTAACGAGGCAAAGGCTTTTTTTATTGATGGCTAACCTTATAATTTTGGTTGATTTGTTTTTCCAGGGTCAGGGTATGTACACAGGACCAGAACTTGGCTTCACTGATGTGATATTTAGTGATGATCATTCTAGTGTTGCTAAAGTAAAGGGTAAAGTTGTGATGTACTTCGAAGGATCTGCTGCGATGCCCGGACCAGACATTCTTCAGAGGAATGGTGCTGTTGGTGTCATATATGTGAGAAGGCCGAGTCATCGTTTTGAATGTCCTGCAAACTTTCCCTGTATCTACATAGATATCGACATTGGTTCCAAGATACATTTCTACATGGAAACCACGAGGTTTGTCTTATCAAACTAATATTCTCAATCTTCTTTTATATATGTTGGAGAAATCTGATCTTGTTGTTTTTGTTTTGTTTTGTTTTGCAGCTCACCAAAGATTAAGATAAGCCCATACAAGGCAGTAATTGGTGATAGTGTAGCAAGTACCGTTGGAGGATCATCTTCAAGAGGGCCTAGTTCATTCTCACCTGCCATTCTTAAGGTTTTGGTTTCATTCATTTTTTGTTCTTGATCACCATGTTCTAGACTTTTAACCACGGCCGGTCCTAAGATTTATGGGCTTCAAACATTTACTAAATAAATATTTTTTCTTAATCATTTTGGGGTTGGATGATATTATTAACCCATTAATATTTTGGAGGTCATAGACGAATGTTTCATAACATTTATCATTTCGCTATGTTCAAGACCGGCTCTGCTTTTAACCATCAAAACTTTCTGTAATGCAGCCAGATATAGCAGCACCGGGTTTGACCTTACTAACACCTAGGATACCGACAGATGGAGATACTAGTGAGTTCGCCTACTCAGGGACATCAATGGCAACTCCTGTTATTGCTGGAATCGTAGCACTCCTCAAGATTTCTCATCCTACTTGGTCCCCTGCCGCAATCAAGTCAGCTATTGTCACAACAGGTTTGGTTTGGTTTGGTTTATATGTTTCTTTAAAGATATGGTTTCTCTATGATAAAAAAACTTCAGCAGCTGACCAAAGACTCTCCATGTTTCAGCCATGAGTACCGATCCATACGGTGAGCCTCTAACTGCAGATGGAGTTAGTCAAAAGATAGCCGATGCATTTGACTACGGGGGAGGTCTTGTGAATATGGAGAAAGCCACAGATCCGGGTCTTGTTTACGACATGGATATAAATGATTACGTACATTACTTGTGTTCCGCAGCTTTGTACACGGACAAGAGAGTTTCTGCTCTAACCGGAAACGTCACTACCAAGTGTCCTCCTAGCTCAGGTTCATCGATTCTTGATATCAACGTGCCGTCTATTACCATTCCAAACCTCAAGGGAAGCGTCACAGTGACCCGAACCGTGACCAACGTTGGACCTGTTGACTCAGTTTACAAGCCCGTGATCGAGGCTCCCGCTGGGTTCACCGTAAAGGTTTCACCGGAGGAGCTGGTGTTTAACAAAGGAACCAGCAAGGCTGTGTTTACGGTGAGTGTGTCATCAGGTTCACACAAAGTGAACCTAGGCTTTCTCTTTGGGAGTTTGACTTGGAGTGATGGAATACGCAATGTGAAAATCCCAGTTTCTGTCAGGACACGTTTCATCGACTATTTGTACCTGTAAATTGCTGTAACTCAACTATTAATACGATAATATTTTCACGGATGTTGGGGATGCAGTAAAAATATCTTAAACCCATTTTGTGTCATCATGAAACGAATTATAATTCGCTTTATCAGTATAATTAATTACTCTTTTTTTTTTGAAATTATTATTATTAGTTTAAGTGATATTTTAATTTTGTGCATATGCATTAAAAAACCAACTAATTTTACATATTTTCTATATAAAAACACAATTACCTATACAACCATATTTCAACCTATAAAAAAAATAAATTACCACATAAAATTAACAAATTTTGCATTAAAAGTTGAAATAACACTTATTATTCAATTTTACATATTTCCAAGATAAAAACACAATTATCTATACACATAACCACTTTTCAACCAATAGAAAAATAAAATATTATATAAAACTAATCAATTTTGCCTCGAAGCTTTAAAACGACACTTAATTTGTGACAAAAAAATAAGCTTAGAATGACATATATTCTTAAACGGAGGGAGTATTTAATATGAACAGAATAAATATTATTATTATTATTATTATTATTATTATTATTATTATTATTATTAATCACGTTCTCCATATGTTATTCAAGTTTAAAAATTAATACATCAATTAAAAACATTTAATATTTTATGTATTTCAAGATTTTAGTAAACGTCGTTTATAATAAACTTAGTAATAATACAACAAATTAAAACTATAAATGGTTATACAACATTAGTAAACTAATAAATTTACATTAATTTCTGAACATGCTACTTTAAAAGAATTGTATTCTTTCTGTTTCAAAAATGTATTTTAATTTTCCCCAAACATTAAATAATATATTAATTTATGGAAATTTTCAATTTTACACAAGTTTGATACTATTTTTCAAAATTATCCTTAAATAATAATAATTTCATAAATATTTTAAATTTCTATACAAAGGTTAAATTAAATTTCCTAAATCATTTATATATAGATTTAACTGATATACTTAAATATATTAGCTACTTTTAGATTTAATATCCAAAATATCTAAATATATAAAATATATGCAAAGATATACAAATAGTCAAAAATAAATATCTATAATAGCTAAAAGATATTTAAAATACCAAAAACAATAAAATATCTGTCGAGTCTTTATCCAAATATTCAATACAATCAAATTTTTATGTTCGGTCTAGATATTTTGGCTTACATTACTCTTAACATATAATGCTATACTAGGTGTTTCGCTCGCACATGCGGGTTCTCTTATAAATATTTATTAGTTGATGTTTCATTAATTTAAAAATCAGCATAATAAGTTACTATTTATGTTTTCAAAAAGTAAAAATCAAACATCAAATAATTATCAATGACAAAACTTAAACATCAGAAATATTTAAAAGAATATATTTCTATAACTGTTTTCTTGATTTATATTTAATTTTAATATTTATATCTTAATTCTTATTTTTATAATAGAAAAACATATTTTTAAGATAACAATATAATGCATAAGATATTTCTTTTCTAAAAATATAATATGATAAAAAAATTTAATTATATAATAATAATATAAGATTATATAAATCGTGACATATAATTAAAATTACCTAAAATCATGGAGAACTTAATGAATCAACAAATCCACTTCTTAAATAATGTTTCTTGAGTGATGATTTATATTAACTAATAATAAATAATTTTCCATTTTACTTTTAAATTATATAATATAAAAATATATTGTCAAGATAACAATATAATACATAAGAATTATCTTATTTTCTAGAAGTATAATATTATTAGTGTAAATTCATTTTAATTATAAAATACTACAACTTTTATATCTTAATTTTAAATTTCTAATAGAAAAATATATTTTCAAGACAGAAACTTAATACACAAGAAATATCTTATTTTCTAAGAATCTGACACTATTAATATAATTTGTAAAATATATAATAAATTATATTTAAAATTATTTAAATTATGATAAATTATCAAAATTACCTAAAATCATGGAAAATATGACAAATCAGCAAACATTAAATTCACTTCTTAAATAATCTTATAGATTTTTTAAATGTTAATTTTAAATTTTATAATATAAATATATATTTTCAAGATAACAACATAATACATAAGAATTAAATTATTTTCTAAAATATCATATTATTAATATAAATTAGTTTTAATATATAATTAATAATAAACAAAGTTATAGAAATTCTGATAAATGATTAAAATTGCCTAGGATCATGGAGACAAATCAGCAAATTCACTTTTCAAATAATTATTTTATGATTTATGTTTAATTATTAATAATATAATTTTTATATCTTAAGTTTAAGTTTTATAATAGGAAAATATCTTTTCAAAATAACAACATAGTCCATAATAATTATCTTATTTTAGAAAAATATTAAATTATTAATATTAATTCGTTTTAGTTATATTTAAATAAGAAATAAATTATTAATATAAATTCATTTTAGATAAATATAAAATTTTTTATATCTTAATTTAAAATTTATGATTTATATAGAAAAGATATATTAAGATCTATTATGCAAATAGTATGCAGAAGATATATTATGGAGAACATGACAACTAAGCAAATTTACTTCATAAATAATAGTATAGATATTATTTTTAGTTTTAGATTCTGAGAAGTTTAATGTATATAAGAACTTTTAAATCTTCAAATCTTAAAATAATTTAAACTAAGTATCCGAAATTGAACACAGCCCGCAAAGATCCAACTGAATCCGGATTTTTTTAAATAAATATCCAAATAGGATTGAAATCTACAATCTCAAAAATTTGAAATTTAAATAGACCTGACCTGAAATTTAAATACCTGAACGCCACCCCTAATAGACACACTAAATGCTTCTTTAAAAAAAAATCATATCAGTATCAAATTATTTTTTAGTTTCTGCTAATGCTTTAAATTCGATTATCTATTTTGCTTATTCGATTTTGGATGTGAAAATAACAGAGATGAGAGAGAACAGATATGTTGGAGAGAGCTATTTTCAGTAAACAGCCAAATAAAGAAAGGAAATAATAAATCTGTTAAAACTGTCTATGTGGAAATAGATATGTGTCGCTTGGACATTACCCACATTGGTTTTGTAGTTTGTCAGTTTAATTATTTCTTTGTTTTTTTGTTGGATTGTAGCTATTCATGTCTGTTTGGTGTTCTGTAATTGTCTATATAAGCATCAAATGCAGAATGAATGAAAAAGCATCCCAATACGAGAAAGCAGCTCTTCCCAAAACCCAAGAAGATGGGGTTTGTGAAGGGAAGTTTGAAAGCGTTTCTCATCATTGGATTCTTGTTCCTTTTAAATTGCGTCTTTGCTCAAGAATGCACCACTGAGGAGCCAAAGGTTTGTAGAATGGTTTCAGCTGGTCTTGTTCTTTGTTGTGTTAATTTTTTTTAAAAAAAATATGACTGATGGAAGGCTTTTTTTTTTCTTGGATTGATTTAGGTTTATGTAGTGCATTTAGGCGCGAAGCAACACGATGATCCAGAGTTGGTCTCCGCATCGCACCACAAGATGTTGGAATCGGTTTTCAATAGGTATATGACATAAACCGGGTTCTTGACATATGATGATGATGATGACTAAATGCCTCATGGTTTTTGGAGCTAATCGTTTTATTGTTTGGGTTTTGTTTACATGAAGCTCGGAAGCTGCTAGAGAGTCCATCCTCTACAACTATCGCCATGGATTTTCAGGGTTTGCAGCCAGGCTTACAGAGTCACAAGCTAAGAAGCTTAAAGGTTTGTCTTTGTGATTTATGACTCAACACAAGAAGTTTATGAACTCTAAGAACTATGACAGGATCTAGTACAACACTAAACCCAATGAAACATTGGTTCTGATTCCTCAAATTTTTGAAAGTTATATAAATAGAAATGTCACAAATTATGTAAAAAAAATATATTTTTTTTAATAAATGTTTATGATCCCCAAAATTTCAAATCCTGTTCTGCTAAGAGCTTTTGTGATTGCACACATCTTCTCACACATTTCTTGTTTTTTTTTTCCATCCAGACCGTCCTGATGTTTTCAGTGTGGCATTAAACCGAAAGCTTGCGTTGCAGACCACGAGGGCTTTCGACTATTTGGGCCTTTCGCCGAATCTACCAAATGGACTTCTCCATGACAGCAACATGGGAAGTGAACTTGTCGTTGGTATTCTTGACTCAGGAATATGGCCTGAGGCAGCGGGTTTTAGCGACGAAGGGCTTGGACCGATACCTAAACATTGGAAGGGGAAGTGTGTAGCCGGAAGGGCATTTGACCCAGCAAAGCATTGCAACAAGAAGATAGTAGGAGCAAGGTACTACCTAAATCGCTATACTGAGCGGCATGGGTTGAATATCAGCCGTGAAGAGTATCGGTCCCCTAGAGGTTTTACATCCCACGGAACGTTATGCGCTTCAATGGCAGCCGGAGGATTCGTTCCTAACGCGTCATATGGGGGTCTTGCACCTGGACTCATGAGAGGCGCTGCTCCAAAGGCACGTATAGCTGTGTACAAAGTTATCTTCGATTCAGAGAATATCGGTTCTCGCACTGCAGATTGTACCATGGCAATCGATGATGCCATCAATGATGGTGTTGATGTATTATCGATATCTATCGCCCCACTTGGACCTCCTTACCATACATATACTACTTTTGGGGAAGATGTTGAGCTTGGTTCCTTCCACGCTGTCATGAAGGGCATACCTGTCGTTATTGCTGCTTCTAATTCCGGCCCAAAAGCTTACTCTGTGACTGGTATAGCTCCCTGGATGTTTAGTGTTGGTGCAACTTCCATTGACCGTACCTATTATGTAGACGTGACTCTTGGCAATAACCTAACCGTAACTGTATGCAAAAAAAAATAAACATTTTTTTTTTTTTTTTTTAAAGTATAGTGTGGGTCTTGGAAACTTACTTCTTTCTCTGTATCAGGGTCAAGCTTTGTATATGGGTCCCGAAGTATCTTCTGAATTAACTTACATAGAAGACTGGCAAACGTTCACTGCTCCTCGTAGGTGGGCGAAAATTTCCCTAACGTTTATGAATGACGATACAGATATGGCGTTGGCTGTGAACGTACTAAGAGGCGATGGTGCGATCATTGCACGAAGTTCGGATTACTTAACTGACGTTTTTTTTGACTCGCCAGCCGTCATTGTAGACTATGAAGTCGGAACTAAGATTCTACAATACATACGCTCCACAAGGTATTAGTCTTTTTTTTTTCTTTAGTATGTTATACAAACACTGATCATTTACTTATATTTCTCATCCTCCATGTCTCTATCCAGTTCGCCAACGGTTAAAATAAGTAGGGCTAAAACGTTCGTGGGACGTCCAAAATCAAGTATAGTTGCAGGATTCTCGGGTAGAGGGCCTAATCCAACCGATCCAGCTATTCTCAAGGTTTTTATTTCTTCTTCTTCTTTCTAATCTTTATTTTTGCGTTTCCAAGGATATATGTGTTAATGACAGGAATCTAAATGATGCAGCCTGATATCGTAGCCCCCGGTGTGCTGGTTTTAACAGCTGACATTAAAAACGAAGAAATTCCTGGAATGGCCATAACTCAAGGAACATCCTTGTCCACTCCTCTTGTTGCCGGACTCGTCATACTACTCAAATCTGTACACCCTGACTGGTCTCCTGCCGCTATAAAATCCGCTATCATGACTACAGGTTCTTGAATTCAAACTTTTTTTTTGTATTTGAAAGGAGATTCTGGCTCCAGGACCCATACATCCCCTAGGACTAAGCAGCCTGTAGTAAAGATTTCAATATTTAAAAAAAAAACAAATTTGGGGATTTATATTTATGTAATTTTCTTCAATAAGTTAGAATAATTAGGTGAATGCTTCATTTGGTTTTGACTAGGACCGGCCCTAATGACTTAGTCGAGTAATTATTTTCTTGTTGTTGATGTTATAGCGTGGAAGACTGATCCATCTGGTGAACCAATCTTTTCGGAAGGAGTACCAAGGAAGCTGGCAGATCCATTTGACTACGGTGCAGGACTAGTGAACCCGGAAAAAGCCAGAGATCCAGGACTAGTTTACGACATGAACCTCGACGACTACATCCACTATTTCTGCGCCTCTGGCTACAACGACACATCAATAAAACTAATCACCGGGAAAGATACTAAATGCTCCTCTCCTTTACCTTCTATCCTCGACGTTAACTATCCAGCCATCACGATTCCTGACCTTAAAGATGAAGTGACCGTCTCTAGAACGGTGACTAACGTTGGACCTGTGGACTCGGTTTATAGAGCCGTGATCGAGCCTCCGCGAGGTGTAAAGATCGCTGTTGAACCAGAGACTCTGGTGTTCAACTCGAGCAAGAAGGTTCTTGGGTACAAAGTTAAGGTTACGACGAGTCATAAGAGTAACACTATTTACTTCTTTGGTAGCTTCACGTGGACGGATGGTACACGAAACGTTACCATTCCTTTGTCTGTAAGAACTCGGGTTTGAACCTCTGATAAAGAAGATCCCTCAAATTCGTAATAAAATGTTATCTATTTTGTTCGTTTTTTTCCTTTTTATATGAAAAAATTGTAATAGAAAGTTTTATTTTGTTCTCTGTGTTTGACTCTTAACTGAAATCAAATCAATAATTTCAGTACTTTTTTTTTGTGGACAACCAGTAATTTCAGTACTTAATATTCATTCTCTCTCTGTACATGAAAATGAAGTGTTCGAATGATCAAAACATCGTATGTTTCAATTAAGTGAAGACTCATCTGTATGATCATTTTATTTTTTTAATGTACAGAAAACAAAGCCCTCCAGAAAACATTTACATTTTGCTTTGCTAGAAACCTATACCTATTTGTAATGTTCTTCCTTTCATTTGTACATGAACTACAAGAGGAGAATCCAACATAGCAGAGCCTCAAGTTTACCTCCATATTCAGACAAGACCCGATCTTTTCCACTTTGATGTTTCAGACTCCCAAAAGCAAGAATCCATCACCCAAGTATGGACTAAATTAGTAGCATTTCTCCTGATTTCTCACTCTCATTATCCTGAAAATTAAACCAAAGCATATGTCTTAAACTCCTTCTCTCTTAACCTCAGCAACAACATAATCAATTGAGGATAAACAGAGAACACTGAACTCCTCAAAACGTTAACCAACACCTCAACTTCTCTTCCTCCTATACACCTCACCGTAAGTCCCAAAGCCACTTTTGCTTATGTTGATGAAAGACTTCAAAAGAACTAGTTTCCTCTCTCTTATTTCCATTTCTATTTAAGATTGATTGGAAGGCTAACATAAAATTATTTAAATATATCTATTTGTGAATTGTATATCTATAACTATTATTCATATATATCTTATTACTACAGAATTTCTAGCATAATTTCGGTCAAAAAAAATCTCTAGAATAGTTTTTACATACAAATTGTATATTTTGGATTATTAGCTATCATGTTAGGATTAGCCGCTACAAGGGCATGTAGATAGTAAGGGAAGTGGACATGTGAAGAATTGCACGACCCCTAACAGTTGTCAACAGCCAACTTACAGGATTTCCAGGTCTTCCAGTAAGAGATAATGACATTGTGGTCATCGCGAATTGTTGGGCCCGAATGTAGCCCGTTAGCTGAAATAATGGGTTCGAATGATAAAAATCGTTAATAGGACATTACAAGCCCATTAGTAATCTATCCCTCGAAGAAGAGCTGAATAAAAGTCGGAACCTGTTTGTTAATGGAAAAATCATTAACAAAACAGGTCACGGAAAAAAGGTCCGGACCTCGTTTACAAACAGCTAANTTGTTGGGCCCGAATGTAGCCCGTTAGCTGAAATAATGGGTTCGAATGATAAAAATCGTTAATAGGACATTACAAGCCCATTAGTAATCTATCCCTCGAAGAAGAGCTGAATAAAAGTCGGAACCTGTTTGTTAATGGAAAAATCATTAACAAAACAGGTCACGGAAAAAAGGTCCGGACCTCGTTTACAAACAGCTAACGAGAAATAGCTCAGGTTGGACACATAAGACCTGGTCAAGAGGAGGCTGTTACAAATCCCACAACTTACGGAGGCAATCTCAGAGGTTCATCGGGAGATGTTAAACGTGACCTAGGGCTATTTAAAGGAGGGAGAGACGAAGAAGAGAGGATTGATTCATTCAACCAATTTTCACATATATTATTACTCACAAATCATTCAGCTATTTCTTTTGTAATCATCGGAATCATCTTTGTAACCCTTATTCATAATTATAATCATATTCATTCTTTAAGTTCTAACAGGATTCAGCCCACGATTGTCTTTTCCCCAATCTAAACCTAACCTAAATTAGAGAGTGAGTTTTACCCCTTACATTTTGGCGCCGTCTGTGGGGACGAGATAATTGAATCCTTTACTCTGTAACTTGAGAATGGATCCCTCCAACCAGGCAACGAACCCATCTATCCCTGATCCCGTGATCCAGATCGACGGCTCACCGAACAGAAGAGACTCGGATCTTCAGGACTCAGAGCCTCGATCCGCCGATCACCGATCTGAGCAACAGCCTCCGGCTAATGCTCAACCGAACCAGACCACCACTGGGATAACTAACCCGAGATCCTCCAGTGGAAAAAACTCAGGGGTTACACCCCCCGAAAACCCTCAAGAAATTCAGAGCAGTCAGAACTAAGCTCTCGAATCCCAACGATCAAGTTGCCATCGAAGCCCTTAGAAGAGGTCTCTGGTACAAATCGGAATTCTGGTCCAAGCTAACGCTTAATCCTCCCCCAACTATCGATGATGCCCTTCACAAAGCATCAAGATATATTACCTTGGAAGAGAAAACAGCTGCGCTAGATAAAATCCATAAGAAATCCCAGAATCACCCAAAAGGTGAAACCTCGGAAGCAAAAGGATCTTCTAGAAAAGGGAGCTCCCGGAATAATCAGACCCAAGGAGAACATTCCTATGCAGTCGAGGAAGTCCAACAGGAAAAACCTGTTGCCGCGACAAGCAAAACCCCCTGGTCAAAAGGCTACGATGAGAACAAACACTGCTCTTATCACGATCGAAAAGGGCACTCAACTGAGGAATGTTGGGACCTCCAACGCAGTTGGCAGCTAAATTCGTAGCTGGGGAACTAAAGGACGTGGAACTCAAAAAACCACCTCCTTACCAGAAAAGAGGTCCCAGATACCTCTCCGAAGCGCGAAAGATCGTCTGAGAAGGAAACAGACTCGCCACCGCCAGCTCCCAAGAAAAGAGTTGACATGATTCTTGGGAAATTTCCCCAAGGGAAAAGTCTACAAATCGAGACTCTCCTAAGCAAACCACCACCTCAATCGAGCCCCAATTCGAGGGTGGATTATATCCTCGGAGGCTTCGATATATGTCAAGACTCCGTTAATTCAATCAAGAGTCACATACGGAAGGCCGTTTCCAATGCTCAATCTAAGCCTCCCAACCCTGCATCCAACACTAAGATTTCTTTCTGGGAAAGCGAGACATCAGATCTCGACAGACCTCACGATGATGCCTTAATCGTCACCTTGAACATAGCAGGTTACGAGGTGCCTAAGCTGATGGTTGACACCGGAAGCTCGGTCGACCTTATCTTCTATAACGCCCTGAAAGAGATGGAAATAGATGACTACGAAATCATTGGTCAGAAAGCTAACCTTGTAGGCTTCTCCGGGGAAACAGTTACCTCCTTGGGAACCATTAAGCTCCCGGTCATAGCTGGAGGAATCATGAAAATGACCAATTTTGTAGTCATCAACAGACCTTGTCCATTTCACGCGATCCTAGGAAGACTCTGGATTCACAAGATGAAGGCGGTAGCCTCCACTTATCACCAATGCGTGAAATTTCCGACACCTGACGGAATAACCACCGTACGAGGTAGCCAGAAGATCTCCAGGATCTGTTACTTGGGAGGATTCGGAATCCTCAAGGAATCACCCCAATAGCAATTACAGATCCAGGAAGGTCGAGAGATGCAACAGAATATTCGAGGTCCCCCTAGGAACCTAACCAAACGAGTTAGCATCGACAACTCCGGCCCCGAGAAACAAGTGAACATCGGATCAGAGCTACCTCTCGAAACTAAAAAGGAGTTAATCGACTTTCTGAAAAGCAACGTCAAAACGTTTGCATGGACCACCAGCGACATGAAGGGTATAGACCCAAACGTCACAACTCACAAGCTCAATGTAGACCCTACTTTCAAACCGATCAAACAAAAACGCCGTAAGCTAGGCCTCGAAAAAGCTCAAGCCGTCAACGACGAAGTAGATCGACTCACGAAAGTAGGGTCCATCCGAGAAGTACATTACCCCGATTGGCTGGCTAACCCCGTAGTAGTGAAAAAGAAAAACGGGAAGTGGAGAATCTGTGTAGACTTCACCGACCTAAACAAGGCTTGCCCTAAAGATAGCTTCCCGTTACCTCACATCGATCGCCTCGTCGAGGCGACAGCTGGCCATCAGCTCTTGTCCTTTATGGATGCANGGAGAATCTGTGTAGACTTCACCGACCTAAACAAGGCTTGCCCTAAAGATAGCTTCCCGTTACCTCACATCGATCGCCTCGTCGAGGCGACAGCTGGCCATCAGCTCTTGTCCTTTATGGATGCATTCTCGGGATATAATCAAATCATGATGAATCCTGAAGATCAAGAAAAAACTGCGTTCATAACCGAACGCGGGACATACTGTTACAAGGTAATGCAATTCGGATTAAAAAACGCGGGAGCTACCTACCAAAGGCTTGTGAACAAAATGTTCGCCGGACAGCTCGGAAAAACCATGGAGGTATACATCGACGATATGCTGGTTAAATCCTCAGCTGGAGAAAATCACATCTCCCACCTAAAAGAATGCTTTGATATCCTCAACAAATACGATATGAAACTAAACCCCTCAAAATGCACCTTCAGAGTGCCCTCGGGCGAATTTCTCGGTTACCTCGTAACCGAGAGAGGTATCGAAGCCAACCCAAAACAGATAGCGACCTTCCTGGAAATGCCGTCACCTAAGACAACCAGGGAGGTACAAAGACTGACTGGACGAATCGCAGCGAATACGACATCGAGTATAGACCCCGGGCAGCCATAAAAGCTCAGGTCCTCGCCGACTTTATCATCGAACTATCGTCTGAACAACTAGATCCGAGAGCTGAAGCTCCGGAGTGGAGCCTGTACGTTGACGGAGCCTCGTCAAAACAAGGCTCCGGAATCAGTCTAAGGCTGACCTCTTCAGCCGGAGAAACCATCGAACAATCCTACATGCTCGGATTCAACGCTTCAAATAATGAGGCCGAATATGAAGCACTAATCGCAGGATTGAGACTCGCCCTAAGCCTCGGAATCCGAGAGTTAAATGCCTACAGTGACTCACAGCTGGTAGCTAGCCAGTTCCACGGGGAATACGAAACGAGGGACGAAAGAATGGGGGCATACCTCGAAGTCGTACAAAGCCTCACTAAACAGTTCGACAAGTTCGAGTTAA